AAAGATATGATATGATAAGAAATGCTTTCTACTTAAAGAAAACTCTTGGCTTTATTTCAAGTTTATATTTCTAATTTATTTTTTTATGTATTTTAACTTACAGGTTAAAAAAAAATGAAACGGCAGCAAAAATATATATCGTATATATGTATATATTATCTATTAGATATCGTAATTTTAAATATGTTAATATCTGTTCCTTTTAATAAGCGTTAAATACGTAAGAAAATCTTTCAGTTTATCGGCAATACATTTACAAATGATGCCACATATCTTGTATGAAATCATTTTATCGCAATTTTATTACTATTGAAATATTATCAGAAAGTTACAAACAGTCGAGTGCAAAGATCAATGGTTTCTCATTGCTTTATATATTGACATTATGAATTATTGTTATGGAATAATAATCGATAATTCGATAATATTTCTAATAATTTTTTAATTGCTATTTTTCTATTTAACACTATTAAACTCATGTCGGGTTAACATTGTTTCAACTTGTTTCGAGTATCATGTCCTGATATGTTCTCAAGCAAACGTTACAAAAACACGCCCTTTCCTATTTGATTAATCGTTTTTCACGTAATCCTGCGTATTTAGGAAATGTAGATCAATTCATTGAGTCAGTCTAATCGAATCTGGAAATAAAATGAAATAAAGTGAGAGCAATATAATAGAAGATAAAAAATTGCGGCTAATTCTTAATTTAATATTTCTTATATTTCTATTAACACTTCTTATATCTATTATCTTATATGCTTTATCAATGGATTTTCTTTTGTTAATATGATTTAAAATCACTATAATTATATATAATAGATGCAATTATGTTTAAGACAGAATGCAACATAAAATCATCCAGTATCCGGGATTGTATAGAAACTTTTTAGAAATTATAGTCATGTAATTAGCATCACGAACTTGTATTATTTATGTGTGTTATTTATATATACATGCAATTTACTATTCCAAGATATATTATAAATATACATATACTCCAGGATTTTTGCAACAAATATAATTAATCATTTACAAATTGATAGCACTTAACATATTAGTTCTTAATTTTTTTTGATTTTGCATACAAGGCAAAAACGTATAACAAAGGAATTCAACTGTAAATTATATACAAATTATAATTAAATTAAACAGATTATTTAAAAGATCACAATGTTTTAAAATTTTTATGAATATTTTATAATCTAAAAAACATCTTAATTCGCCAAATTTTTATAAATTATGTAATGTTGCACATTTTAAAATGTTACATAACTTATATGTTAATATAACTTATTTGTGTTTGGCGCAATATAAAGGATTATATCTTTAAATTGCCATTAATACGTAATCAGAAGTTAATTAGTTAAAAGTAATTGACCGTTCAATACTTCGTAAATCTCTTTATCAAGCAACTACTTGCACCAATATACTTGATATCGCTTTTATTATATCATATTACACAAAGAGACGCCTTAATCCAATTCCATGACTATACGCTACTGCTCAGTGAAATCGTAGCTTCATTGATTGCGACGCGCATACGCTTGGTCGACAGTCATCGGGGGGAGAAGGGAGAAGAAAATTCAAACGGAATGCATTCAGGATTGGAATACAAGGCCCCAAGATTCGTGCTCTGGTAATCTTCTTTATATAAAGTTATTTTTATTAAAAATTGTTATAATAAGTATTATTAATAAATATATTAATAAATATAT